AAGATATTTCCTCTTATTTTGTATGCTCTACTTTGCTACATTTTAAACCCAATTGCAAATTAATTCAAATGTTTTTTAAAAAGTATATTGCAATAGAACAACGTAGAATCAAAGAATGCAACCTTATTATCTCGCCATAAACATCAGTGCACTGGCAAATCTCCCACTGTTGCAAGCACACGGGAGAGTGCTATAAAAGGAAGACTGTGGTCTTAAAGCATGTACCCTGTATTTCTTCTTTTGGAATATTTCTGGAATATTGTCGTCTCTCGGTCAGCTTGTTGCCATGGCATTCCCAGAGTGCCGCTCCCTCTCCTTATGTCACACAGTCAGTTAGAGTGAGTCAGTATTTTTCCACAGTAAGACATACAGCATATACAGCTGCCGCCAGTCTTAGCATGCACACAGATGATGTGCACAGTTTGGAATGTCCCATGGACTGCGCTACATACTTAAAATGTTGACCTTGGCAAAAAATATTCAAGATGCATATTTTAGAATCTGTGAGTTCAGCGATTAATATTTAGGGTAACGTTTGATGATTTTACCTCTGTCTCAGCTGCTGATGATGTGCAATGTTATGAGACCGATTCCCCATAAGACACTGCTGCTTCTACGCCACATGGTCTGCTAACAAAGCACCAGAGATTAAAGAGCTGTCAGCTCGGGGCTTTAATCTCCTAAAGAGGGACCGCTGGGGCACACAGGCACGTCACAGCACATACTTCCTGTCACTGCCAGTTGTCTGAAGGAGGGATGCCAGTGACAGCATTTATGCACGACTTGAAGGATGATGCTTTTTGCTTATTAACAAAAGACTCAGACTGTATGTGTTTTCATATCGGTTGCCTGAGAGATAGTAGGAGTGGCCTTGTAACACTGAGTGGAATAAGAGGCATTTGGTCCCTCTTGGGCAGTTCAGCCAGATCGTTGTGCAAACACAGCAGGCCCACTGGGGTTAACTCAGCCATGTAATGACACCACAGTGGAATAATGGGCAGCCGTGCTCAAGTTTGTTTTTGCTTGCCTTGTAAAATGGCTGATTCTGAACTGTGAGGACACATACCTTGGGAAGGAACCTCTCACTCAGGTTCAGTTTACGATCAGAGCGCCATTCGCAGCATTAGAACCATACATCTCCCTCTTAGAGCACGTTTGCACATGTGCCAAAAGTGGGCCAAAGATCACAATCTCAACACACATCTCCACTCATTCAATTTACACTCAGCCGATTCCAATTAGCCCAGGGTGCAGAAACAGAAGAGTTTAGAGGGGAGAGGGAAAAAATGGGTGTCTCCAGAATCTTGCACTGTCCTCATTTGAGGAAATGAAGCATGGCCTCGGCTTGACCCGTCTCCCTTGGCACTCAGGCAAATGGAATGAAGCGTGCAGGTGTTCGACAGCACTAATATATACGTGTAGGTTGACTATATAAGAGTGCACTGACAGAACTAGATCACTTGCCTTTGCCAGGGGACAAGAGCCATGCTGCTGTGACAGAAATGGCTCATAAATGGCCACACACTGTATGCATACACTCTACTTTACATATATTAAGTCTCAAGAAGCCTACTTGCTCATTGCTCCTTTATACAAGTAGACCAGTGACATTTATGTCTTTTTTTTCTCACATTTACTTATTTGTTTGACTTTTTTTGACCATTTTTGCCCTTTCCAATAATTTAAAACATTAAAAAATCAGTTTATACATATGATTTGAACATACCTCTTCTATGATGAATATTTTTTAATTTCTACATGAAATTTATTTTATATATTTTTTAGGGACAAAGTAAAAGATGTCAAGAGTGGCACAGCTGCCTTGATATTATAAGGAAGAAAAAAAGCTTAATTACAGAAAACAATTCCTGAACATACAATCTTATCAAGTACAGTATTTTTTGCATAATCATTTATAATTTCTTAGACAAAAAAAAAAAATGCACCCAAAAAAACATCCTGCTGCTTATTAAAATTTGAAAATATTATGGTGCAAGTGCCCAATATTTATTTGTATGGAAAGACATTTTTTCAAATATTGGGGATATTTGTATACACACACACACACACACACACACACACACACGCACACAAAAATAATTAATAAAATGTTTCAGAATAATGATTAATATGTAAACACCTACTAATGACCTTAGAGAAAAGGACTTTTGAGTTGTATAAGAAAATTTTGTTTCTTTTGCATTGATAATGGACTTGACACATATTTGCCTAATTCGGTCATATTTAGTTCATGTTCTTAAGACATGGTCATGCATGAACTAAAAGGATAGATTAGCACTGCCCTGTGGTTAAAAATAAAATGATATGCATAAGGTTGACACTAAGTAGGTTTAAATGACCACAAACCCTGGTGACCACTATCCTCATTTGAACCGGATATATGTGATGTTAAAATACTGTCTGGATCACACTTTTACACTCTTGAGATTGTTCTCTTCTCACAACACCTCTTTTTTAGATTCTCAATGGAGAACAGCAAGAGTGTTTAGAGCAGCAAGTGGTTTTACAAGCCAGAACCCATTATTTATTCTCTCCTGTGATATGTCCATTCACGGTCCATATGCCCTTCTTAGCATAAATCCCCATTTCAGATCCAGATATAGGGTTCAAATACATGCATTTGCCGTATTTAGATTAAAGAGACTTTGCCATATATGCAGATTTATGGTCATTGTGTCAAACTTCATCAGAGTAGTACTTTACCCCAGATGTGTACATTTAAGCAGACTATTGGTCCATGTGATCCCATATGTATTTAGAAATTGAGATTTGTGATGGGGCTGAGAGAGTGGATTATTTTGGGCAGATTAGAGTGTCATCTGCTTCATTAGAGTGTTCAACTGGCGTAGAGAGCAATCATGTGAATGTGTGGCTAGGCAATGGGCATCAGGATTACCAATCCTAATCTTAGAGAGTGAGCCATTATCCACTGCATTAGTCTCATGGTCCCCAGAACCACTCATGGCATCTTTGTTTAGTAAATGTCTGACTGGTGTACAGTCTGAAATGCACAGATCTATTGAGTGCATAAAGATTCGTTGGCTTTGATTATAATGCCTGGTAAAGTTTCACTTGCAATACACAGATAGGTCTGCACAAGTCAAAGTGTGTGAAAAGAAGAGCTACATTCTTTCCCTTAGTGGGAAAAAATGCTGTTTCTCTTAGTTGGGACGAAAAGACCCTCATGTGTTCCATTATTTAGCTGAGAATGAGTTTGTAATGCTTTTTGCAGTGATTTGGGAATGCGGATAAAAAGATGACAGACTGTGCTCATTCTGCTAGTGGTCTTGTTGTACAAAGCTGTGCCATGGCTTACTTCTACAAAAGAGATACCAGATCTGTTAAAGACAGTTGTCTCTCTCTCTCTCAGTATGGACATGGGGGGAAAAAACATCTGAGATTGTTTAGGATTAATTGCTTGTATTCCTCATTTGTAAGTTGCCTTGGATAAAAGCATCTACTAAATGAATAAATGTAAATGTAATATTTGTTGATAAAAGACCCCAAATGAAGGTATTTTGAAGACATTAGATTACATGTGATGAAAGCACTGTATAAACATAAAAAGTGGTTTTAGATGTCAATATATTGTTTGTTTTATTTAAATATCATAGAACATAAGCCTATGACCTGCCTACAGTCCAAAAACATGCATTTGCCATATTTAGGTCAAAGAGGCTTTAAGCTTTGCCATATATGCAGATTTATGGTCATTGTGTCAAACTTCGTCAGAGTTGCACTCTGAGTCTGTCAAGCTGTCCGAAACTTGGGGGCCGTTCACATGGGAAAAATTCTTGTTTATTGTCTCTGATATTTTTTTAATTGTTGTGCAGTGAAGTCCTGCTGTTTTTCAGTATCTCAAGCCATGAGGGTTGTGTAAAGACACTGTATAAAGTTAACAGCAGTTCACCTATAAACTTTGAAACCATTCAGTTGTCTATAGCTGTTTTGCTTCCCTTATTCTTGAGCTTACAAAAACATAAAGGTGGTAATTCAAGCAGCTCTTACAGTAAGAAAAACTCTTATTGTGAAATTTAGGTACAGGGGTACCGAACGCTGCATATGGCTTGTGGAAAAATAGATATTGTGGCCACAAAATGAAGAATTTGTTCCCACAACTTATTAATTTGTGGCCATGTTTTATTCATTTGTTCCCTCATTTTAGTTTAATCGTGGCCATGTTGTAGTAATTTGTTACTCGTTTTAATCATGGCCACGATTTAACTAAAATGAGGGAACAAATTAGTGCAAAGTGGTGATGGTTTTTACAAATGAAGTTGTGGGAACAAATTCTTAATTCATGGCAACAATATTGTGTCTCTACTTTCCCTGCATGTCATGTGCAGGGCTCCATAATGGGGTGAAGGGACATGATTAATTGTTGTTGTTTTTTTATCATAATGTATTATTACATTATATTATATTACATTAGTACATTCTCAAACTAAATTAATGTGTTACTGTAATCAGTAATTGTTATTAAGTAAACAGACAGATATAATATGAAACTTGCCATACCCATGACACACACCCAACTGAAACACACAAATGACATTAAAGCTGTCTAAAAATCCTCTACTTTATTCAGTAAGATGTTTTGTAAAACATTCAATAAAAAATGTAATCACTTATTGCTTTTTATTAAACTAGTACTTGATCTTATGCATATTTTCTCAACGCATTCTCATATGTAATACACCTCTAGATAATTAGACAGGTTTCTACTGTTTGAATATATAAAAACATGAACAAATCAAAAGTCACAAATTAACCCCATATCTTTGCCATAAGTGCAGATTGAGCTATTAATCTAAGAAAAAAAGCCTTGGCCGGTGCACAACCTCTCCGTTTGCATATCCATTCGATGCTTAAGGGTGCTGATGGTTTACTAGTCCCTCACACACATACATTCTTTTTAAGGAAATTGTGTACAAGGCAGTATTTGATGGTGATCTGGCAAGATGCGTTTTTTTCTTTTTATCCATAGCTTTCAAGGAAGGAAGGGTGCAGTTGAACAACAGCAGGTCCATTGTAACTTCTAAAGCAGTCGGCGCCGACAGCTTAGGTAGTGAATCAAACCATAAATAAATAAATTAATGATCATAAATAAGTTCATAAATTAAAACGATCTGTACATGTTTAAAAATGTCTGTAAGTGAGACAGCTGAGTGTGGTGTAAATAGTGCACGGGCCTGCAGGAGAACTGAACATGCTGCGTAACAGAGGGTAACTCACAAATTTGCTGCCTTTGCCTTTTTTGGTGTTTTTTTTTTTGCCTCTGTCATGCAGTATGTTGTCTAACAGGCCTTTTCTGGCATTTCGATGTCGACACTACATGCTTGAACTCCAGATCAAGTGTGACAACACTGAAGTCGAGTAGGCAAGAGAAATTCCACTAACTACATATAAAGATATATTGATGGTTATAAATATAATAATAATGCATGTCAAAGTGTCAAATTCTTCAAGTGACTACATAGAGCTAAATGTTGTATGTATGAGTGTGTGTTTTGTTGTGCAGTGGATGCTAAACTGCTGTACATTCATGGTGAGGGAATGAAACAGAGAGAGCAAGCGCCGTGTGATCCTGTCAGGCTGGTGGAGGCTCAGACGGAGGGCTGGGGCGACCGCTGCTGCTGCTGCTCTTTTATAGAAGCACACACTTGCCCTTCTCCACCCATGGATTGTTCTTCATCAGCTCAGGATTCAGGAAAGGGTCTTCAGGCACACACTCCTCGATCCACTTCACCAGGCTGAGGAGAGGAAGGAGAAGTTTCCTCATCATTCTGGGACTCAATGCTAACTGCGTAATCTATTTAAAGTAACAAATTTGGTGCAAAAATGAGTACTATTTAGGAGTAAATAGAGCAGAGATTTGCTCTGTATGCGTGTGACTTTGAACATGGATGCTGAGTGTGAAGGAATTGGGGCCATGCAAGATCGCACCCATGCTGAACAAATGATAAATGAGGGTGATAATCGCGTAACTCTTTGCTGAAGCATTATCCATCACAGGCGATTAATAGAAATGATGTGTCAGATGAGAGTAATATTCTTAGATTCATGCTAGACTCCATCTAAACCCGAATGCAATTAAGTCATCATGACCCAACATTATGACTCCACAATTGCTTATTCAGCTAAACTGCGCACAATAACACTGAAGGAACCACTATGCTGGCGTAAACTGGGCTGTTCACTACTGGCTGGTAAAAGGTCATTTGTAACAGAAAAATGACCATTGTGAATATTTCAGGAAGAGAGCCCTGGGACACAGGGAAATGAGATGTCACTGTAATGTGACAGTGGCGGGTGTGACTAATGGCGTTTTTCCACTGCATGGTACGGCACGGTACGGTTCACTTTTGGGGGGTTTTGGGGGGTTTTCTACTGGGTACAGTACCTGGTACCTGGTACTTTTTTTAGTACCACCTCGGTTGAGGTTCCAAGTGAACCGTACCGTTACCAAAACGTGACGTGTAAACTCTGCTGATCACGGATTGGCCGGAGAGAATCGTCACTACCTGCGTCACTGAACTTTCGACACAAACACAAAAGAACCGCTAGATTTAAATCAGCACAGCCAGAGATGGATCGAACGCAACTGTTTTGAACAAGCGCACCTTTTTTTAACAACCAAAAAGTGGCAAGCGTTGATAGCAGAGTCGTACCACGCAGTGGAAAAGCGCCATAAGAGGCCATGCTTGCACTCAAATTGGAGAGTAAAGCACCAGAGATCTGAGAGCATTAGCTTTGTCCTGAGCAATCACCAAAAGGACCTGGCCTCTGGGCAGCCTAATTTGTGACATGAGGTGAACCTGAAAATTCAGAAATAACTGCAGTGAGTTCATGGTGGCATAAGGGTTATTCAATCAGGAAACAGTTTAGAGAATCCAGTGACAAAACTGATCACTCTCCACAAGAGGAACTATGAGGTTTGAACTATGTGGAGTGGATAATTTAGGTAGGTGATACATTTTTTTAACATATTAGATGACGATTTACCAAATAAGTAAATAGACAGACAAGAAATACTAATTTAAGTTATTTTATTATTATTATTTTAATTATTTACTTGTATTACCTCCAGAACTTATATTAGCTTAAAGCTTCTGCTAAAATATAGTCCATTACAACAAAAAAGCGGGACGAATAACACAACAATATTAATATATATTGTTGAGGTTTTATGTTTACCATATACACTTCTGTTCAAATTTGACAGTAAAGACTTTTACATTTAACATTACCAAAAAAACTGTTCTTTTGAACTTTCTATTCATCAAAGATATGATGTAAAAATGTAAAAAAATAAAATAAAATAAAATAAAAAAAGTTTCCACAAAAATATTAAGCAATTGTTTGCAACATTGATAGTAATTAGAAATATTTCTTAAGTAGCAAATCATCATATTAGAATGATTTCTGAAGGATCATGTGACACTGAAGACTGGAGTAATGATGCTGAAAATTCAGATTTGCCATCACAGGAATAAAGTACACTTTAAAATATATTAAAATACAACAATTATTTTAAATTCTAATGATATTTCGCAATATTACTATTTTTATTGTATTTTTAAACAAATGCAGCCTTGGTGAGAATAAGATACTTTTTTTCTTAAGAAATATAAAAAAATCTTATTGACCCCCAAACCTTTACGCTGTAGTGAATATTAAAATAATACTGAAACCCTTAAAGTGCAATTTTTACCCACAGCAAAAAGTCACTAAATTGCTCCAATTAGCTAGTCTTAACTTGCGTTAGTATGCAAAGAGAGAGGTCACAGAGTAATATGAGAGAAATGAAAGAAGAACTAGTATATTGTCAAAATAACCATTAAATGTACCGTTTAGAAGTTATTATAACAAAACATTGACTGGTCAATGCCATTTTGACCAATGACAATTAAGTATTTGTATAATAAACGGACAGAATACATGGGTGATGTTCTAATGACTTGCTGTTAGGTTTCTCTGTACTTGATTAGCAACAAAAATAGAAGGAGGGTAGAAGAAGTCATTATCTTTTCTGTTGTGATATGCGTAAAATATATGGGTTGGAACAGAGACTATCAGTGTGCAGAACAAAAGAAAGCACACTCACTCTGTCACTGTCTTTGAGGATTTCTCCCTTTTGAAGGCCAGCTGGTACTTGAGGCTTTCTACCTCCTTCTTCATCTGGGGCAAGTCCATCTCATCCATGACTGCGGCTTGATGTGGAAGTGATCAAACTAAACCTAAACAAAAAGATTGAAACAAGAAAGATTGTTTTTGCACATTGTGTCCCAAAACAAATGCTCATACTTAAATTGCTTTTACATGACTCAGTGATTCTTTCAACAGCCATCCTAAGAAGTTTTAGACAGGTGAATTGTGCTGGCTCAAAATGTAAATGTATTTTTATTGTGATGTAGCTTGAACAGCTGATTTTGCATCAGTCGATGAGGGTTGTAATTAAAAATCTTGCCAAACCAGCACCTCACAGTATTTGTATGTACAGTAATAATGATTTGTGAATGTGATTTGTATGCCCATGCTGAACAGTTTGCATATGTTCCATGATATGAAAATAAACAATGAAACCACTTTTTGTAATGTTTATTCATTTGCTTTGACTATATATATATATATATATATATATATATTTGAATCTTTTTTTTATTCTTTTTTTTTATTTTGCATTTGATTCATTCATGATTCATAAAGTCTTATTGACTGTTCTTGTATTTTTATTTTACAACAATTGAAAAAGTTAAAATGTGTGGTTATTAACTGTTTCTACCTCATGTATCCCTTAAGAATGTTTTTATTGGTCTAGTCTGAGGTTATAAGGCTAATTCAGTCATGCTACATTTTTATTTTTGACTTGAAAAACAAGCTAAATAGATGTCACCAATCACATTTTAGACATTTTAGACTTCCTCACAAGACATTTTGTTCTGGGATGTACTGCATGCATAAATGTAGCTTTCAAATAAAAGATTTCAGATGCTTGTCTAATGCTTCCTCCTCTCTGAGCAGGAGTTAAGGGGGATCAGAGTTTGAGTCTTGAGAGTTTTGAGTGTTGAGAGGAGTCCAGCATTAGGGCATGTGTGAGCCAGAGAGCAGAGACAGTTCAGCATGCAGGTGTTCTGCTGCCTGTCTACATCCGTCCCATAAAGGCTTTTAAGTGCTTCCAAGCAACACCAGCCAGACACTGGAGCCTCGCACTCTAAAAGCTCTGATTTCACTATCTGAGACTAAACACACTCAGAGCAGCTGGGAGATTGTGCTGTTTTTCCAATCAAACGTGATGTTCAGAAATGGTTATGGGACAAAGCTGTTTCACAAGCTGTACAAATAAATGTACTGCTCTAACGTCTCACTTCTTTCAAACCATCCATAAATACTTCATGCGTATGGAGATATTCAAGAAATACTTTTTAAATGTGAAATTGTGTGCCAATATAATGAAATAAGAAATCGGTTGTTGCTAAAAGGTAAATACACTGATTTCAGTGCTTCACTGAGGTCCTAAACAAATATATAATCAATAGTGTCCCAGAATATACAGCAGTTTGCCACAAGCCATAAACCTCTTTTTTTCCACTCACCCATTAGTAATGAACCAAATATTATTGATGCAACAAATATTTGATGAAATGAATGGATAATACTATTAAGGTTTATGTTTTTGGTTTGTTCATAATATTATGTATACAAAAGGACAGTGTGACATATTAGATGGAGGACCAGGACAAACTTCCCAAACCAAGTTCTTCATGTAGGTCGTTCAGTGATGTAGGTCCTCACCACATTGCATCCAAATAGGGAGGGTAAATTTCAGTTTGATTAAAAAAAGAATTCAAAATGTAATTACTAAACAAAAGCACATTTATAATAATATGTGTGTGTTGTGTCCTAACTGATATGCTGGCGTAGAAAGAACTAAAGAAGAGAAATGAGAAATCAAATCTGTCAATAAATGTGATAGCACAATTTCTGTAGCTACATGATCATCTGATTAAGACAAGCATGACTTGCTGTATCTCAGTTACCTCCAATGGGTATATTTAGGTTTCCCAGAGCAGATAAAACTATTAAGAAGCTACTGCAGGCTGAGGCTGAATTGCAGGCTTCTTAATTTCCTCCTTCCTCTGTAAATATGATTTTATTCATCAAAAATGTGGGACGGATACAAGCAGGACGCTGAAAATCGAAGTTTTATGTAACACCGGCAAAATCGCTGGCAGCCACAGCAGCGATGGATGAAGGGAGTGGTAAAAAACAATATGAAAATGCAAAAAAATAAAGAAATAAGAATGCATGGGTATCAATAACTAACATTTCACGCTAACATCATAAGTTATGTCAACTGTCATCAAGAGACAATCACGGAAAAGATTAGCTCGATATGAATTCACATTTGTGTCGCTTACCTCGGTGATGTATCTTTGGGTAACGTTAATACCCGAAGCCCGTCTTTGGTGCAGACTGTTCTTATCTATGGGAAATGTCCTCAGATCAATCAAAACACATACGCCTGTGTCTAATTGACGAAAAACGATGGACGACTGTGTATCCGATGTAGACAGCCAAAGGACTAGACAGGGAGACTAAAGATAAGCTGGCAAGCTCCGGCAGCAGCGCCAGAGACAGCTGAAAAGATGCTGAAGAAGTTGAGCTGATGGCAGTGGTAACAGCCCAGTAATGTGCTGCTCAGCCGCTGCTGGGCCAATGTGTAGAGGAGGTGCTGGCGCAAATCTGCCTGGGAGGGGGGAATCAGAGGACGGTTATATGCCGTTGAAGTCGAAATGCCTCTCCTAATGTTGTAGACAAAAGGACGGTCGACGTCCCGATGCCTATTCGCTAGAATTGTCAGGGTCAGTGTTTAGATTTTCCATATGCTTCTACTCTCCTGGTACGTTTAGTCCACTTTGCCCTAATATGGAAAAACTGAGCTCCAACTTGAGATTATGTTTTTTTTTGTTTTTAAAAGAAAACGTTTAATTATTTAGTCGTGCGATTCATTTATTCATTATATAGATTATTGGAGTGATATACAAACAGTGAACCTTTACACTAAATATGAACGCTGTTGGAACACTTATTAAACACATTTAAAGTTACTCTTTGTTTAAAAAAAAATATATGTTTAAAAATGTTATTAATGAGTGTGTGCAAATCGTCCAAACCATGTCTTTATCAAACTACACATTAATAAGCCTGTAATAGAACGCTGCGGTGATGTAGCCTATTTTTGTAGGCCAACACGGAAGTTAGCATCACCCTGGTTCCCTTGACAAAAACCCAATTGGATTTTTTCATTGGCTTTTGGATGTTTGGACAAGTTAAACACAACTTTTATGAATTTTGATTCTGAAATAAAATCAGCAGAAGTAAAAAGTTAAATGCAGGCTATAAACAAACTACACCATGGTTGCATGACTTCATCGTCACCATTCCTTATAAACATATAGGGTTACTTCAAAAAAACATATAGGGTTATAACTGATCCCCGATAGCACACATACGTCTTTGACGTCTGCATACATCTGCAATACGTCTATAGGACGTTTCCTATCAGATGTCAAACAGACGTTTCGAAAATGTCTTTAAGATATTTATGATTTAGAATGTATGTAAAACTGACATCTTAAAGACGTCTATCAGATGTTTGTACACAGCAGATGCTTTCCAGATGAAGCGATCTTTAGCAGACATCTTGCAGATGAACGTGTGCTATCATCAGGGATATGTAGTATGTCATAGAATAAAACGTGAAAATATCTTGATCTTCTGTAAACCATAGATCTTATTTAACCAAACACCCACTGACTAGGATGATAAAACCGGAAGTGGTTTTCTGCATTTTGGCCTACAGATATATGTCATCCCTACAGCACTCTATTCTTATTGTAGAGCTGTCTACGGATTTTGCGTGATATTGCATATAGGCTATATGTCATTTGCCCATGCGTCTCATGTCATATTCGTACACACAAGAAAAGTAGCTCTGGCTATGAACAACGTGAAGCTGAAATTTGTTATGGATCATTCAAAATGGCAAACCTCTAGGAAATCACCGGTTTTAAAAACGAAACAAACATTTTTTTTTTTTATTTGCCCGTTTGCTCTGATAAGATGTCCTGTACACTGGTGCCTCCAACCTCATTTATCCATGGAGAAGAGCAGAGCCAAAACTAAAATAATGTTCTTCTGTAAAACACATGCAGTTTTATATTTTTTAACTGCTACATGGCCAAAAGTTACATAGTTACATGACTGAGACTGTTTTTTAATTCTGTTCATTTATGCAAAACATAAACATAACAAATTTGAGCTGTAGTTTGTATTAATTATATTACAAATGCTCTTGCACACAATTTGACATAATAAGCCTGAAAGCACTGACAACAGTATTCCATAAAGGGTGAAATGGCTGTAAACTGCTCACAGGGAGATTTAAAGGTTTGCCTGTTGGCTGATACAAGGGCATCTGTCATATGCTCATCTCAGAGCAGCACTCATGTCAGTCTTCTGTGATATCTCACCCAAGAGCAACATCAGGAGGTGTAAGATGAGGAGAGGTGCCTGCAGGGGCAGCAGATCAGATGAGCCCCCTTTTGTTGGACCACCATCACCAATGCATTTTTGGCTAATGCTAAAAGAAACAAGGGATGTCTTGTTGAAAGACAGACAAAGACATTAACCAATGGCTGTTTCATAAAAGCATGTGGCAAGAAAAAAAATCACCGAATCCATCTAATATGAAAAATTCTTATCTAATTAACTAAACAATATTGGGTCGATAATGCGAAGATGGAGAAGAAGTGGCTGCCACCAACCAAAGTAAACCACAGCTAAAATACTGATAAATATAATTTATTCCTATATGCTAAATATAGGCTTGATAAGATTAATGGTCACTAGATTCTATACGTACAATTCTGAATGGATTAAACATTCTGAGAGTTGATTGCAAACCTCCATTATCTGTATCAGATCACAGTAAAACACCAAACTCATTATCATTTATGTACTTGATCAAGCTATGACAAGTGATTCTTCATTTTTTTTAAGTATTTTTTATCCAAACTGACTGCTTTTAAAGTGTATTCAATAAAATGACAATACATTAACCAGTTTGAATTAGCTTTTTCGGATATTTGTGTTTCACAAACAGAAACAGACTAATGGCCACTGACCAGTTCTACCTTCAGCCATCTACTTCCTTTAGCACATTCTATTTTTATTGCATGCATCATTTATTGCATGGGCATACGGGAAGAATGAGCTCTGCTCTGAATACGCTTAAATGGATCCTGAATGAAGAACTTCCTGCAATGGCTTGCCGATGGGGTCAAGCTTTTGATGGGTGCGCTGGTTATTCTTTGGCTTAACAGTGCAAAGAGTATCTTAAGTGGCAGGTAGGACAACAGTTCATAGAGGCTGTGATGCTTCATCAAAGAGAATTTACACAGATACCCTTTAATAGCCTGGGACCGCATTCTGAAGATAAAGACACGTCACATGTGTCCTAAATTGATGGGTGTCCATGAGAAACTGCCATTAGTGCTGTAACACAAAGAGCAAATGCAAGGCGCCGTAAGCTACTCTAAAGGAAGTTGCAGCTGAAAGGAATCAAGACTGTAGCAGTCAAAGACATGTTATATTCACAACATTTCATCATTTATTTTGGGCTTAAGTGGTTTACCTGGCTCTGAGAACAGCATAATGGAGCATCTCCAGCCAGGTGAATGCAGGTCAAATCATTCATCTCTGCTCAAAAGTGCATGGCAGTAACAATGTCAAAATATCATTATCATTTTATACATTTCAATGGATACAATTATAAGAATAAGAACATTTTATTATGTACTACATATTCCTAAAATACTACAACAGGTGACAGAAACATTTACAGTGTTTACAGCACACGAAGAAATATTTCCAAAATATTTCACTGAAATATCTAACTACATGGCAGAATTTAAAGGAATAAGATGTTAATTGATTGGCTGGAGTTGTGTGTATTACTTGTGGATTATTGTGATGCTTTTATCAACTGTTTGGACTCTCATTCTGACGGCACCCATTCACTGCAGAGGAACCATTGGTGAACAAGAGATGTAACGAAGAAACAAACTCATCTACATCTTGGATAACCTAAGTAAATGTTTTATTTTTGGGTGAATTGTTCCTTTAATCAACATCTAGAGACAACATCATAAATTAGGTGGCATCATAAGAGGTGGCAAAGAAGGTATAATTGTCTAAATGATAGTGATAGACCTGCTTTACTGATCTGCTGAGAGAATGTGAATTACAGAGTTTAATTCATGTCCAGACTTAGGATCTGAGCAAACAGCACCCTCTTCCGTTTAACTAATTAACTCAATATGGTAGACCCAGAATTAAAATGTAAACAGAAATGTAGATACAGAATAGACTGACAAACATTCAAGAATATGCAGCTGTACACAAAAGCAGAATTGTGAAAACCGTGCAATCATAACTAAAATATATACTAACAAAAAGCGTAACGTGACGTTAGATACGTGCATGCTGTTCGTCAACGAATCTTTTAAGTATATAAATCAGTGTTTTGAACAAACCTTTCAAGGGAACGAGTCGTTCTCGTTCACTTCCATGCACTGGCTCATTTTTTCATTGGAGCCTCTACTTGTGCTTGCCTTGTTTAGTTTTTTTCAATGATTTAAAGACATGCAGAGAGAAGAGTGAATTTTTAATTAGACTTGTTGAACGACTCAGTGTTGAATCAGTTTCGCGAATCGAATTCAACACAAAAGATTCTTTCAGCCACATAACTGGACAGCTGATTTGGTGGTTGCCTAGCAACATAAAAGACTGCAGCGCACTGCTCTTTTTAAAAGTCACCAAAAAAAAAAAGTCAGTGACTTTTTGGTCTGAAAGTTTCAGACCAAAAAAACGCGTTCGGTGTGATAGGGGCCTAACGGTGCAACCTGCAGGATTCAAAAGATTCGACTCACAAAGATTAATCAAAATCCCTACCACTAATGTAAACATTTGACGTTTAAACTCTTAAACTGACTTGAAAAATACCCAGTAAAAATCATGATCCAACCATATTGGTCTCATCATCTTGGATATTCAATAATCCTCGGCCGATTCCAGGAACTTGTTGCGTCAATTCCCGACAATGAAGCGTATTTGCTGTTCCGCACTACATTTCCCACAATCCTCTGGAATGTGCGTCTGGGTGTGTGAGAGAAAGATTAAAATTGGACCATCTGCAGACTTTGATTTGGTATCAATGGTGAGAACCTACTTTGTTTGACTAAATAGACATGCGAGACGTATCTTATGTTTTTTGTAGCTAAGCTAGAGGTCTATCTTACTACATTTTGTAAAGCTAAATATGGTGTTTTATTAAAGCTGTTCGACAAACCAACTTCGTCAGCTAGCCAACACAGCTAGCCAGCTCACTTCACGCACGCGAATCACTAACGTTAGCACATCATCAAACGAATCTGCTTGTTTGTCTTTTAGCGTGTTTTGCTGTTGTGTTATCATGGAATCATGTTGCTGTTAACATGTTATGCGTTTTATTTCCGTTTTATCTGGTGCTTACAAGACAATGTCCCCATTTTTAGCAGTCACCCGCTAACACAATCTTGGCTGTCTGAAAACATAGTGAGCTGCGTACTTTAACAGCATTGTTGTCTATAATTGGTGCGTTTGAACATTTTGAATCTCACCAATTGTGAGACATAAAGAGAGCAAAATCGCTGATCTTGTGTCTGTTGTGATTTCTGTGTTGCTAACATACAGCTCCGTCAGTTTAACGCTATGATTTGTTTTGACGCTCTGTCGGGAAGTGTGTCTGCTTTTC